AAAAGAATTCTAAGTGTGTTCAATGAAAACATAAGCTTAATTAACAGTTTGATATTTTAAGCCGTATAACGGAAAAGACCTCCTTTTATATAGTGGCGATTCGAGGAGTAAACTATTGAGCGAGAACTGCGAGTACAAAATCAATCAAATTAGACTTAACAAACAAAATTTGATTTAAATGTTTGCATGTTAGAAAGTTGAAAATTGAGTAATTAAAAGGAAAAAGAACAGTACGATAAAAATAATTTCTCACTCGAACCTAGCTCAAATTGCACAAAATTAAGGGAAACATTTCATGAAAATTACCTGAACAGAGCTCAAATAACGTGAACAAATTGTGATCAAAAACATTAACTGGAGCAAGAACAATGAAATAAAATTTAACAAGGAGAGATAAATCGTAAGAACCAACAAGCAAATGTCAAAACGTACGTATACTTTAGAATGAGTCACTGGTTGAATTCTATATACCTAATTTGGGATTTTTCATGAACATTTTTTTGGAACGATTAAGAGCCAATTTTATTTAAACAAAAACATTTAGCTGACGTAGATTTATACCACTGGTAAAATGTGTCGAGAAGCTCTCCCGTACCGAACTTTTTGGCCATAATCATATCTGATCATTGTAAAATCATGCAAAATTCATGTCTGTAACAGATGTGCAGCATGTCTATATTCGGCATGCACATACCTGCATCAGACCTGCATCAGGTGTGCTAACTGAAGATATGCTCACACCTGCAGCATGCATGATCATGCCTGAACTGAACATGCTCACACCTGCATGATACATGATCATACCTGAACTAAACATGCTCACACCTGCAGGATACATGATCATACCTGAACTAAACATGCTCACATCTGCAGGATACATGGCCATGCCTGAACCGAATATGCTCAAATCGGTATCTTCAGTATTATAAGATAATTAAAGAAATGGTTAAATTGTAACAACATCATAAACTCAGCTTGATAATGTGACACTTTACTTCAAATTTTTAGTTTTTTTTTCAAATTTTTTCTGACATCGGTGAAGTTTTTGTTGAAAATTTACTGTAGTCGTTAGATGCATCTTTCTTTAATTGCCAGCAGGGAGTCGTTAGTAGCGGGGCGTGTGGATACTTTTCTCTGTTTCCTGTCAACATAAAACTAATTGTTAGTCAAAACTTCATCACTTTAAATAAATGCTTAACAAATAAAGTTAGACAAAAATCATGCGTTAAAAAGTAGTCGCATATTTGTTTTTAGTTTTTTCAATGAGATTAATAGTATCAACCAATCAAATCTTTTTAATTTATTTGCAATTATTGCGGCTACTGGTTTGCGAAAATTGAAGGATTATTGGCCAAAAAATTTTGTGACGAATTGCTTCAATTCAATGCTTTATAGTTCAAACCGGGGATTCTTAGTTTTTTCGACTATCCCTCCCGTTGATCCCCTGAAACTAACCTGACGTCCTCTTTTTTGGGATGTAGATGCGACATAATTTTCTTCATTTGAAGATATTTGACTCGAGGAGGTAAATTTGGATAAGCTCATTTCAAAAAAAATCTGAAAAAGTGAATTTTTAACAACAAAGACCAATTATTCAAGATACGAAGTGAATTTGTCAAGTTTTCAGTCAGTCGTTATCATGTCTGCGACAGGTATGAACATGTTTCACTCAGGTCTGATCATGTAAGATCCAGGTACGAACACGTCTGTAGAAAAATACGCATGCTCACTTGTGAACAGCCCTGCATAATGGGGGAACAGTCCTGAGAATATTCTCTCCCCTGCTAAATGGATGATCAGCCGTGAAATGGCACAAAAAGTTCAGTACGGGCTCCATTTTGAAAAAAATCTGAATCTAAACGCTGAATTTTAACATTCTCAGCTGATATCGTATCATTCTCAGCTGTGAAGATCCTGTTTAGTTCTGCAAGAAAACGAAGTCTGAGATGCATATAGTTAAGGCAAAACAGAGGATCATGCCAAATATTTTCAGTTGGTTCTAGACAAAAATGACGACGAGATCAGGAGAAGCCCTCCACCCCAACACTCAGAGATAACTTGCTGTCGGATAACTTGGGAAAAACTATGCACCATTTCAACATACGAATTGTTGCAAATTGTCAGGTATCCTGAGAATGATTCAATTGTCAGGTTACCTGCCATTTTGCAGGAGATCTTCAACAATTCGTGGGTTGGAATGGTGCATGGTTTTCCTCAAGTTATCCAACAGCAAGAAAGCTCAGGGGTTAGGGTGGAGGGCTTCTCCTGATTTTGTCGTCATTTTTGTCCAGAACCAACTGAAAATATTTGGCGTGATCCTCTGTTATGCATTGATTATATGCGTCTCAGACTTCGTTTTCTTGCCGAACTAAACAGGATCTTGTTGATCACTTTCAGATTCAAATTTGTTGTTATAATTAAGCTGACTTTACCGTTTGAATTTTTAAATGTCATTTTTACTTTCCTTAAATCAAATATATTTTTTTCTTTTTTCAGAAGAAAAATATCAAATCATGAAACCGTAAATTTGTCTTCCGGTCCAAAAAAGACGTCGATTTAATTTCAAAACCGGAAAACCCAAAAATCACTCAACTAAATTGTCAAAATTTAAATCTTCTAGTCACTTTGCTTTTCAATCTGAATTGCAATACAAAATTATCCTCCCCACCCTAATTTTTATGACCCTTCATTTTAATTGACCAGGATAAAAACAATTTAGAACTGGAGATTTCGAAAATAACGTCTAGCAAGTCAATTGTGCTCTAAACATAACTAAAACTGAAGACTTGATTCATTATTCTCTTCACCTCAAAAACCACACAATTAAAACAAGGAAATTCCAACAGTCGAGTCATAAAGCTGTGAAATTTTTGTTGATGACGGTGACTATTACATGAGAGTAAAAACGTTTTTCAACAACTTTTCGGCCTATAATAAAAAGAATTAGAAGAACCCCATTTCAAGACAAGTTTTTGCTGAAGAAGACTAAACCTAAGCACAATTGCGTTTTATCCTCTCTATATTCCAGGCAAAATTAGTTTTTTTAATAATGTTTTAATGAAGACTTCTTCATATACAATACTGGAAAAGAGTGAAAACCTGATTGAAGTATATGAGAAACCATGTTTTCTCTTCCGAATGACCTTTTCCTTTTTCCCCTTTTTTCTCTCGGGTATTACATTAGTATTATTTCTACGATGGTACGAGGAGGGGAGAATCATATATAGAGAACAGCGTCCATTTGACTGAACGTTTATTTAGGCGAACGTGAACTTTTTACTACCCTAACAAATCAAGTGGTTTTCGAAACTTTACGAAATATTAGGCTAATTTGTTTTTCATCTGAAATCACTCCCAGTTAAAGCCATTTACGCTTGCTAATAGGCACACAAGCTAATCGCTACTACCCCGTCGTTTGTAGCCTAAACATCGATTCGGCAAACAAGCAAAAAAATCAAAAGGTGTTGCAAACATCCGGAAAACAGCTTAACTAGTGCACATATCCGACTTTTAAAAAAAAAAAAAGTATGGCGAAGATCAGATTTCTACGGTTTGCTTAAAATTTGCTACTGTGGTCGAATGAAGTCTGATCGTCGCGGTCGCACCAACAGGGTGTGGGAAAATTAGAGCGAGTTATCGCCGCGAGAATATACCCATTGACGACCTTAAACCGAGAGTCGGCTAAATTGGAACTGGATAATTGACTACGGATGTTTGGTATAGTAGATGTTTGACATCGAATGTTTTCCCTAGGCCCGCCCAGGTCATACAACGTACTCGTGAGCTATAATGGGAAAAGTCATATTGGAAGAATGCAGGCCCGCTTCTTCACTTCTACAAATCAAAAGTGGTGGAGGGATGACAAGCGACATTCAATCTAGAATTTTAGATTCTGTCCAGACATGGTGCATGTTTCGTTTGGACATGGCCATGTCTGAATCAAGGCTGAGGCAGGTATGGATTTCGTCACGACTGCAGACCTGCTCAAGGCCTGATTCAGTCCTAGAACAGACATGGGTCAGATCTGAACCAGATCTGAGCAGACCTGAAAAATTCTTGTTCCAGGTCTGAATCAGGCCTTAATCAGATCTGCACTTGAGGCACAATCTATACGTGCCTCCGTCCTGATTCAGACATTCCATGTCCAAACGAAAAATACAACATGTCTGGCAGGATCTGAAATAGGCAAGATTTTAAGATGCTCAGATCAGGTTTCCAAGTTTTTGTTAGGTACGAGTTTTTTTATCAGTTTGTTTGGTCAGTAGAAACAAGAAACAAACAGTCAGTGTGAAGGTTTTCTCTATGATTTGTAAAATTTACCGGGAAATATTAAAGTAAATTGTAATATCCTGGTTGACATTTCATAATCCAATACGTTTTATCTTTAAAAACAAGGTTTCTATTCAATTCAACTTTCTTCAAGCGGACCAGGTTCTCTTCAAATTGAGATTGAGCAAATTTGCTTGCCAGGGTTATTTTGTTGTTTACCTTTGCTAAATCTTCAGTGTAGCAGTTCAATTTTTTGTCATAACTTCATTACAATAAATCCGTTTGACTATAGGCTTAATAATCGGAACTACTAAAACAAACGAAAATGCAGAAAGCAAAACTAGGCAATATGACCTGCTCAAAACTTGGGTTCGGATGTATGTCGTTGACTCCGACTTTCTACAAGTTGGACAAACAAGATTTCAGCGAGGAAGACGCTTTGAAAATCCTCCAAAAAGCGAGAGAACTCGGCGTTACTCATTTTGATTCGGCTTTCGTTTACGGGATGGGCAAAAACGAGGAGCTACTTGGAAAATTTCTCAAAGAGCTGAAACCTGAAGAACGGAAAGAATTTTGCATCGCTACAAAAACTGGAGTCCTTTTAAAAAAGGAAGATAGTCGAATTTGCGGCGAGAAAAATTTTATTATCGAGGAAGGTCGGAAATCAGCTGAAAGGTTGGGAACCTACATTGATATTCTATATTTGCACAGAATTGATGTAAAAACGCCGATTGAAGAAAGTATGGAAGGTATGAAAGAGTTGATCAAGGAAGGCGTGATCAAAGGAGTCGGCTTAAGTGAGGCGTCGGCCACGACAATCCGAAAAGCACATGCAGCTCAGCCAATCACAGCAGTCCAAATCGAGTATTCGCTGTGGTCACGTGACGTCGAAAAGGACATTATTCCGACATGTCGTGAGTTGGGAATCGGTATTGTCGCCTATTCGCCTTTGGGACGCGGTTTCCTGGCGGGTAACTTCAAAAAGAGGGATGACTTACAAGAGGGTGATTGGCGTTTGGATAATCCTCGGTTTAGTCCAGATGCCATTGAGCAGAATGCTAAATTGGTCGAAAAAATTGAAGAATTGGCCGCTAGAAAAGGGGACGGTTGCACTGCTTCAAAGCTAGCTTTGGCTTGGGTGCTGACTCAGGGTGATGATATTGTTCCAATTCCAGGAACTTCGAAGCTGGAAAATCTGGAGAAAAATATGGAGTCACTGAAATGCGAACTAAGTCAGGATGAGATTAAAGAGTTAGGCGATGTGATTCCACCCGAGAGTGTTGTTGGTAACAGATATGAAGACGGTCATCACACTTATGACAAGAATTAATTCAGACAAAAAAAAAGATGGTGAAACTTTTCCGATAGATTAGTATAAATTATGTGAAATTGCATTCTTGTCGTTTTTAATTTGAGCGTTTTTATAATTTGAAGTAAGTCATTAAAATTGCAACTGTTAAAAAATGGAGTACAAACACTTTCAATTAAAAAAAAATCATATTTCTTTGAACGATATTTATATAGTTTCCAGTTTTAACTATGATTTTTAATTGTAAACATGGGCAAATTTAGGTGGGTGGGACATTCGTATAAAGGGTCCTCTACCTATAGTACTAATTGATGACGTGTTTTTAATCAAATTACAAATTTTTGTACAGGTATCTATTGCGCAAACAGAGAAAATTTGGCTAAGCATGACGCAAAGCATGACCTTCCAAGATATTTTTTGGCAAAAAATCTTTTTAAAAAAAATAAAAAGAAGCTTTAATTACCGATGCAAGAAAAAACCTTTCCGCAACATTAGTTTTTAGCTTTGAATCAAACTTAACCAGTAAGTTTTTCACATTTAAGTAATTGTCCAAAGTTTCAATTGTCAAATTGTTCCAATGGTCCGATTGTTATTTTTTGAACCATAAGAAACCAGCAATACACTAAGAAGCTCTTCACATCATGGGATTCTCAGACGTAATTTCGAGCAAATAACTCATTCGGATTACATTCGAGTTAGCTGTAGTTACCTGTTGAATTTTTACACATTGCTGAATGAGTCTGCATGAAGATTTCCTTAAAGAGTTGTAATATCATTTTAGGGTACCGTGCAAACATCCGATGTGTCAAATATCCGAAAAACCAAAAAGTGCTGCAAACATTCGAAAACCAGCTTAACTAGGGCAAACATCCAATATTGTTTAAAAAGTAGGGCAAACATCCGATTTCTACTGTTCGCTTAAAAGATGCTGTTTTGGCCGATTTTCAATTACAAACCACAGAAAATTTGGCCAACACTGAACCAATATACGTTTTTTTTTCACTGAACCAATATGAGTTTTTTGTCAATAACACCAGACTAAAATGAGTCTTGTAACTAATATTAAAAACTCTTTGCTAATATTAAAAACTCTTGGTTTTCTTATAACTGTTATCCCAGGTACAAAAGAGATGTTTGACGTTTAGTTAAAAAAAAGCAACATACTTAAATTTGGAGAGGCAACGTGGAAAGTAAAAAGAATTATTTTAACTCATTTGTTTGCTGATTTGTTAAAGGCAAAATGGTCTCTCTCTTGCTTTTGAGATTCTTACGTCATATTATTACAAAACTATTACATCAGTTTGGATGTTTGACATATCGGATGTTTGCACCATCCTTTTACAAGTTGCGAAATACACTTACAACTTCTGTTGCGTTATGAGGTATGAACTTTTAGATTCATTGGTAGGTTTGTAGATGGGTTATGCGGTCTAAAAATTAGACGCCCAGCAAATTAGACCTGAACAAGAAAAACGAACTTAAATTAAAACTACAATTATGAGAATATTTACTGACTATAATTAACTTAGTTCGAGCTTGCTAAAATTTTGAAATGAGGCAATGCATTTCAAAAACATTTTATAATAGTTGGATTATAGTTCTATAAATCATTTTTAAAAAACGCCACCAAATCCATCTCCAAAATTTTTGTATAATCCACAAGCAAATATCTCGAAACGCAATTTTTGTATCCATAATTTATGTTGCGCGGATTGATGGTTATATACCAGCTCCTGATGATTTTATTTCTATTCCTGATTATTTTGTTGTTTCAACCAATCTTGTGGAGTCAAAATTTTTTAAATTTGTTTCCAACCAAATTTGATTAACTCAGGAAAAGCCACAAGGAAGTCAAATGTGGCATCATACTAAATTCCTACTGATCGTGACCTGGATTCTTAAAAAAAAACATAATAAATCTGCCTCAGCTTCGCAAAAAAAAAATTCAGGCTAAATTAAACGAAAATGGACTAATTTAGACAAAACTGGCTGACAATCAAACTCAACTTGGCTACAGACTCAGCAGCTTTATAGCTATCGATATTTCGTTTTTCTTTAACTGTTCTCACTATCACTAATAACAATGACTCAGACACTTCCCAATTTTTTTTCAAAATTCGAAAAATTTTGATCGTTTTGTTTTTCGAAACCTTCTTTTTCAAATATATGTTTTCTTGAATTATCCTTTTTAAAATTATCTGCACTATTTGCACAGCAACCGGCTAATCTTGTCCCAACAGTTGTTAGTTTTTCTCAAGTTTTAACAATTTTAGCACAGTTGGTGATAGTTTTATACACAATTGCTTCTGGTTACAACCAAATTCTTTTCATAGTTTCGTCTTTTTTGACTACCGTCTCATCCTAATGATTGATCGCTGTATTGCTAATTTTTCCCACATAACGATGTTTTTTGTTCCGATCATTGAAAATGGGAAGGAGCTGTGTATTCGCATGTGTTTTAGTTTTTGTTTTCGACGCACAATCAGCTACCATAAATGATCAATGATAGATCATGCTAAATCCCTTTCAGTTGTGATTCGAACGACCTTTAAAAAGTTTTTAAAAATTTTTAATATTGTCGAGAAAAACCGGTTTAAAATTTTTGATCTTTCGTCTAATTTCGAGCGAGTGAGCGGGCTTACATTAGCTTATTTATGTTTCATTTAAGCCTTGAAAACTCAGTTTCACTCAGATGAAATTAGTTCTTAGAATTTTAATCTTCATCTTCATCAAAAACTTTAATCTTCATCAAAAACTCGAATTGAGAACAATTGAATTGAGAACAAGGAGCCAACCCTTGTTTGAGGATTCCAACTAACAATTTTTTTAATACAGTGTAACTGAAATCCTGCAAATGTGTTTCAAAGAAATGTTCAGCGGTTGCGATGAATCTAGGATCTTGTAAAAAATTCTCTGTAAATTGATTAAGGGGGCCCGCAACGGAGCTTAATGGATGACAATCGCATATAATGGATTTTTATTGACAAAAATATTGAACAATATAATCGATTACAGGTGCCACTTTTAAAACTTAAATTCATTTTCAATAGATTATAATCGATTTTTTTAATTAACAGCATATCTTAAATAGGATTTTAAAAAATTTGTGAAGACAATTTTCTCGATCGCCGACAATTGGCGGAATAAAAAACACCACACCGAGCATAAATTTTCCGTTTTTGAAACAAAAAGCGACAAAAACGACAGTGTTATCAAAAAGTTTCAAACCAAAATGATGAGCATGATGCTCAGAGTTGAAACATAGAAAAACATCGAACAGAGATGCATAGAACAACTGGAATGTTTTTTGAAAACCTTTTGATGGTTTTAGAAATGCTAATTTTTTTGTGCGATTGCCGGGAGAATATGCTTGCACTAGATTAAAATGCGGATGGCTTGTTGCTCGAATGATACTTTGATAGTTTCAATACGCCAAAAATTAAAGCGTGGACAATTATCTGTACTCATAAACGATCCAAATTAAATTGAAGCAAGCTAATTGGTCTAATTAATTCCACACACTTTTCAAATTTTAACACTTCAAACTTGATCGTTTCAGCCCAAAAATTGTACTTTGTCAATAATTCAATAACCAAAAACAATTTGAGGCCACCTAATGGGCAGTCAGAGTTTTCAGCGCTTTGTCTTGATACGAGCAGTTGTTTTATATGATTTAAATAGGCAAAAAAATATGAATAGTTGACTAAAAATATAGATAAAAGACTTGAAACAGGATATCATAGTAATAAATTTTCAGAATATAAATGATCGTTCATTTTTAGTTTTGACCTCCCTCATTTTTATTATTTACAGAAAACCTTTTTCATTTGCTTCCCAAGAATGGCACAAATAGAGAACTTAGTTTATTGTTCCAACTTTCGCAACCAAAGCAACGGAATAATTGCGCTCGTGGTGGTTTTTTTTTCAGACAAATTTCTACGTTTCAACTAGCCATTTTTAAACAAAATTTCATTATAAAATTCAAGAAGTATTTTTGTCCTGAGATTAAATTTAAATTTATTTCACCTGTAACCATTTTTTGGAAAATTAGGGGGGTTTAAAGATTGCCATTCTGGCCAATTTGGGACAATTAATCTGAGATTTATTTCGCGCTATAAACACGTGAGCGGATGTTTAATCCGTCTTAGAAATTTTTCCAAATTGATTGAAGAAAGTTTATTTGCCATAGTTGTTTTGGTACTAAACTTAAAAATTGCTTGTACTTTATATGGCGTGTGGAATGATGATTTTCACGAAAAATCTCAAATTGACGAAACAAAACTCATTTAACTTTTATTACATTTAATTTTTTCATGTTATTACTGACTGCCCCATAGACCTTAAAAGGCAATCGGAACGTTCAGAGCTTCGCCCTGATAGGAGCAGTTCTTAATGGAAATAATTTGCTTGCAAGCTTTGCGCAAAACTTATGAATTGAGATTATGATTGCTTGGTATTTGAAGAGCAGCAGTTTCAGCTGACATTGGATGCTTTTTAATTCATTACAACCCCCCGCGATCAAACTTCAGCGTTATCACCAACTCCTGTCAGTGTAAAAGAAACAAGACTGTTCGTATCAGGTTGAAGCCCTCAATGTTCCGACTGTCTTATGAGGTCTATGAAGCAGTAATCGTTTTAAGAAAAATGATTAATTTGTCGGAAAAAAAAGAAAACACACAAAATTTTTTTCGAAGCATCACCCCACACGCCATGTAAAGTACAGAGTGATAGATGCTCCTAGCAACGTAGAAATTGTGACAATTAGCCTGTTTTAACCATTTTGGAACGATTTCTACGAGGGATTAAATCTCCGCTTGCGCGTTAAATGTCCCAAATTGGCCATAATGGCAATAATTAAACCCACATAACTTTTGGAAAATGATCGCAGGTAATACATCTTTTCAAACTTGCGCTCAAGACAACAATATCTTTCGGCTGATATAACAAAAATTTCATCAAATTCCGCTTAGTTAAAAAGTCGAAATTTGTCTGAAGAAAAAAAAAATCACCCCGAGCTCAAATATTCAGTTTCTTTCGTTATGAAAGTCGGAACAATAACAAATAATATCAAACATTTCTTAATACGGCTTTCATATAGAGCTCTATAAATCGTTAAATAGTTGAAATACATTGAATTAAAGTATGCACACGAAATATTTAAAGCGAACGAAACAGTGGGCAAATACTAATACCACCAGAAGGCTCCGACCACGAAGACAGTTGCCACAAACGAAAGTCATTCGGGTTTGAGTGATGGATCAAGGAAAAACCCTTTCAGTCGTCATTTGATTGATCTAAAAAGTTTCCAAAAAGTTTTCTCAGTGTCGAGAAAAACTAGTTTGAAAGTTCGAAATGTTGTGTTTGTTTAATTGGTAGCGATTAAAGTCGAGCGAGCAAAAAGCAGTGAAAAAAAACTGTCAAAACTTTTCGTTTCTCGTTTTTATCCGAGAAAAATTTTAGCGCTTCGTTGGTATCACAAATCCAATAACTCAAAAAAAAGAACCTAAAAAAAGAAAAAAATAGATTTATTTTTCAAAAAATAATAATTCTGTCGATGCTTTTTTTTCATTGCGCAAAGATAACAGGCGTTTTCTCTCTATATAATATAGATATATTACTCTGGTCGGAACCTTCTCTGCCAAGTACATTTTAACCAGCAATTCCTTTAAATGTGACCATATGCATTTATAATCGATCCATCTAAGAATATTCAGTCATAGTTGTCTCTATCCATTCTGAGTAGTGTGACACATTGGTGAATACTGCGGGGGAAGATGTACAGCTGTTGTGTCCCCCCATGGCCCTGCTTACAACCCCACACACGTTGAAGGACCCGTCCACGTTGTCACACAGCAGGGGACCACCTTGATGAGAAAAACGAAATGAATAAGTACGAAAACCACTCATTATTAAAAATGCACATTGTTTTTTTCTGTCTCAAAAATTGCCCAATATTTAAAAAAATAGAAAGCATTTAAACAGCTTATTCGGAGGCAAAATTAGGTGCGTTATCTGCTTTAAATATCTCTCAAATAGTTGTAATCTTGCTACAAACTGGGCGTAAAGTCTCGACTCGGGAACATACGTCGACTGAGAATAAACCGCCGAAGTATGAGAATAAACAGCAGACAGCAGCAGAATCAGGGGCGGATCTAGGATTTTCTCGAGGGGGGGGGGGGGCGGCGGATTTTCAAAAAATTTTCGAAACTTTGTCGACCTTTTTTTTAGGTCGACGAAATTGATTTCCCGAGCTCAAAGCACCCTTTCGCCAAAAAGTCCCTGTTTTGGCCAAAAATTTTGGCGCCGCAGACAAAATTTTGAAAAAACATGCCAAAAGGCGGTTTTTAGGCTTTTTTGGAAAGTTCTTCCAAAAAAATCGCATTTTTTCGGCGCGCGCTCCCCCCTTAAATTGAGTATATATTGACGCCGAAGGCACTTTTAGAAAAATTTTAGGGTCCGTCAGACAAAAATGGATTTCTCGAATTAGTTTGGATCGGCAGGGGTCGAATCCTTGAAGGAAGGCGTTGGCGGACGCCTTCCTTCAAGGATTCGACCCCCTGCCGATCCAAACTAATTCGAGATATAAGCGGTTGCAAAATAACAAAAAAGCAAACAAATAAAATCAATATCAAATATTTTTTGGATGTTTGAGAATTTTATACCTGAGTCGCCGCCACAGATGTTGGAACTGGAGTCCCCCGCACAAATCTCCAGACCTGGTTTGTAGAGCAGATTATACTGGGCACAGTCGTGCAGCTGGAGAGCCACCTCATTGAGAACTGGACTGGAAACCCCAGCCGCCGAGTGAGTCATGCCAAAGCCGACCAGAGTGGCGAAGTGGCCATCCTATCCGAAAAAAAATCATTGCTTCTAAAGAAAATTATAAAAAAGTTGGAACGGAAAAAAATTCAAAAGAGCAAATTAGCTATTTCAGACAATTTTTGCATGCAAAAACGATAAAGTGATGTAAATAGTTGAACTGATAGAATTATCTTAGAAGAGCTACACTACAGTCAAGACATCAACAGAAATTACCACTGAAACAAACTAAACGTCGAAAATTATTAAACCAGAGTCTAAGCTCAAACCCAGTAAACACGGTTTGTTAAAAAATTAGGATAACACTCGTAGATGATTAAGAGTGGCAACTTAAACTAAGACTAGATTAAGACTATGGTTGGTTAAGATTCCTACGATAAAATGTAGGCTTTTATTTAAGACTAAATAAAAGACGGTGATGCTATCTAAAGTAAGAGATGTTAAAAAGATTGAATTAGTTTCGGTTGATTAGTTGCATATCATAAAGGATAGTGCGCAAATTCCAAGTCTACCAAAAGCCGTTGCGCTTTTGGCAGGTGTATATAAATTAACAACGTAAATGTCAACGATCAGTATAGAGGTTAAATGATCAAACAATAATACTTTTTACATTCCCCGCGAAAATTTATCTAAAAGCTATTACTTTCGCCTCGCAAGAAGAAAAAAGAAAGTAATTAAGCGCTCGGGTGAATGAACAAGTGGGCTCAATTTCCAAGACCCCCAAAAGTGGATCTGAATTGCTAGAGACATAATCTTGGTAAAGCACCGAGGGCCAAAAGAGCGTATTTCATACTAACAAAAATTTAATACACGGTTACTAGGTCGAAGGAACGGGTGTACGGTTCGGGAAGGACCGTGCGAACAGGCCCGATGGGCCGGAAGACGTATTCTTCAAGTAATAACACAAAAGAACAAAAACAAAGCACCTTAGATCAAATAGCATGATTTCGTCAGGTAACATTAAATATAGGCCAGTTACTGTGGACGAGCAAGGAACTGGAATAGCACTGGGGTGAGTGAGGCAGTAAGGTGGGCAGGGAAATATCCCCGAAGGCAGGCCAAAATAAGAGGCAGTACTAAGATGGATAGATCTAATGGTTATCCAGTGGTAGCACCCAATGGGTCAAAGAGAACTTTAACGACATTCAAGCGAGGTTATGGGGCTCAAATAAAGCTTTAAGTGTTATCAAAGTAATCTAAGTTTTTGGCGTATTATGCGAGCACTGGAAGTTTATAAGACTCTAAAGGCGATGGAATGTTAAGTAACATTCAACAATAAACAGGATACTAGAGTACTAAGAGTTTTTAAGAGTTTATGAAAGTTTATGATAGCATCTAGACTGAAACTCCTACTTCTCATTCGTTTCCCGATTTGCCGCTTTGTTAATTGTCCATCTCCTTAACTCCTCCAGCGTCATTGGCCGTCCTAGGAGTTCTATCGCCGAAATGATAGAGGAAGTGTTCAGCCAGTCGGGGTCAGGTACAATGTGAGCAGATGTTGAAGATGAGGTTTCGGAGGGTAGGCCCGATGGGTCAAATTGAGTGGTACGGACCTCAGGACTAAATTTGACCTTCTTACGAGGAGTATGTTGGTTATCTGCTACCGAGGGCTTTGGATCACTTGGGTAGGCAGAGCTTTCTTCCCGCAAGTGAATTATCGTGGGACGCGAAGATGAGGGTGGTGTTAAGGTTGTCAGGTCTACTAAGTCGACTTGGTGGCTTTCCATTTCTACGGTAGTTGCTTCTATCGTTGTGTAAGCTGGGGCAGGACTAGGTGAATTAAATAATGGGCCGTCCTGATCTTCATTTGTTAAATCGACTACACTGGTAAACACTCTTTCGCCTAGCATCTTGGGAGGCTGTCTAGTTCGCATAGGTCTAGTGTTCTGTCGTGTAAAGATTTCTGACAATTTCTTTGAAGGTGGTGATTTCGTTGGAGATGACACTTTCCTCTTCGCGGTACCGGACAGTTTCGGTTTTTTAGTGGCAAGGTCAGAGTGTAGTTGCTTAGATTCCACCTCCGCCATGGCGATTGGTTCTACACTAATCTCGGTAAATTCCCGTCCAGGGTTCTCCGGAAGAAGCGGCTTTTCTTGATTCGGTTGATTGGCCTCCTCCATAGTGTCCAAGAGAACCAACTGTAGGTCCCTTTCATTATCACCAGAATCCAAGTCGATCAGGGGAATCTTATCCGACTCGACCTTCTGTTCAACATGGTCCGGTTTTTCTGGCTTACGATCTGTTCGGTCGGAGATTAGGTGTTCATCCGATTTTGTAGCTTCGAGTAATGTTTTATCCTTGAGGTCTTTTAGCGAAATTAGGTCGCTAGCATTATCGTCTGAAATCTCTTCATGTGGTTCGATCATCAATCCAGGTTCATTTACGCAACTTTTTCGAAGGTCGGATTTACCCGACGGGCTTGATTCTTGGTCACTTTCAAGGCCTATTGGGATTCTCAATCTCTTCCTCTGTTCTTCTTCCTCTCTGAGAAGAGTTTCTCTAGAGCTGTTCATGGCCGCGTTTCGCCTCGCAATATCAAGCTCTTTGAATTTCCAATGGAGGTTTCTTTTCTTTTGCGTCGTTCTTGAGCTTTTAAATCCGACATTTCTCGGCGGTTTTGTAGTTTTCCTCAGTCCTTTAGTCGCATAGAATCTAACTAGTTGATCTCGTTTTCTCGGGCTGGGTTTCTTCTGGGTGCATTGTCTTTTAATGGCTAAATCAGATTTACGTATTATTTTACCATTTTTTAAGGTAACTGTGTGGTCTGACTCCCTTACAATTTCATCCTTGAGTACTCTATAGAATGGTTCACTTTTCGTTCTATCTTGGACTTTTCGATAAATAATGGTCTTACCCGGCGGGTTATTCAGTATTGAGTCCTTTATGCCCAAGGCATCTCTCTTTTCTGCCCGAGAAAGCACTTTTACTGGGGATCCAGCACTGGTTGGTACGTATCTCACTGCATTTGAGTTATCCTCCGAGGGCGATGAGTTTTCGTCAACATCTCCATCTTCTATATCATCGGGGGCGTCCCAGTCGTATCTTCGCTCTCGGCTCATTAATTTTTTGCCCTTATCTATGCATAACAAAGTTTTATTCCAATCAAGGTTATTCGAAGAGGGTGATTTGACCAAATTATGCCAGATGGTGTTTGGGGATCTACCAAAATGTGCTTCGAAGGGAGAGCAGTTAAGCGACTGTTGAGTTACTGTTCTTAAACATTTTATTATTTTCAAAAGTGCAGATTCTAGCGAAGGTTTTGGACGTTCTTGTGCCATAACCAAGAGTCTTTCCTTAATGGTTCTGATTAGACGTTCCACTAGTCCGGTAGCTCTATGATCACCCACTGGGCTAAATATCACTTTTATATTGTGATCGTGGCAGAATTCTCTGACTTCCTTGGAGATAAAACCAGATCCATGATCTGTTCTAATGCTTCTAGGTATCCCGTGTAAAGCAATGTTTTTACTAAGGAAGTTTATGATAGATTTTGCCGATGTGCTGGATGTTATTTGAGCTGATGGGAATTTTGAAAATCTGTCCACGCACACTAATATGTATTTTTTTGTTCCCCATACTAAAGGTAACGGATCGGCGAAGTCTAATTCCATTTCTTGGTTTGGCTCTTCGACCGTTGGGAGTTTCCCTAGGGTATTGTGTTTTATAAGAGGTTTCAAGTTTTTACCTGCTTTCACGCACTCAATACAGTTTTCGCCGTGGACTTGAATTTCGCGGTAAATTTTCGGCCACCAGATGTATTGAGTTGCCAGACTTTTCATTGCGAACTGGCCAGGGTGAGCTTCGTGTAGTCGGTTGAGCATTTTCGATCTTAGGCATGCTGGGATAACTAACCGATTGTCCAGATAAAGACATCCTCCGCTGACATGCAAATTATTTAAGTACGATTTATAGTAGTTTCCCAGTTGTAGAATATCTTGTTTGCGGTCTTCCTCAATTGCTTTAATTATCTTTTTAAGAACTAGATCTTGTTTTGATAAGAGCGACATAAATTTTGAATCGAATATTTCTGGTCAAGAAAAAGGGAATATACTGACTGTTTTCTTTTTACTAGGTGATCTTTTCACGGGATTATCCGACGGGTTACTGGTGCTTGGTGTTAAAGAGTCCATGTTTTCATTAGCAATAAGTTCTTTCTGTTGGTTAAATTCAATTTGTTCTGCCATTTCTTTCAGGATGTTAAAATTCGTAAAAAAGTCGTTTAATTTGCAAGATGAGTCACACTGTTCTGTACGCGAGTGAGAATTTTGGCACACTGAAATGTTGGAATAGTTAGCTATCACTTGGAACGTTTCAGCGGCATTAGCAATTCATTTCTCACGTTCTATTTCTTGACTGGTCATATGATCTGTTGACTGGCCAATCGTGTTGCAGGAAGTGACGTCATGTGCTAAGAAATGTTGAGAGAATTTATTTCTTATTTGCGACCACGAATTTCTCGGCATTAGGTGATCAAAACCTAGGAGCGTACTAATCTGATTTACTGAAGCGATAACAAATTTTTCGTCATCCAGAGAAACTGGTACGGGTTCACCCGATGGGTGTCGGGATATATAATCAACAAATCCCATATCTTTACCGGGTAAATATTCGACGGTAAAGTCGAACGGTAGTAGTTTGTCCGCCCAACGGGTGAGACGTGATTGGGCCGTTTTAGTATATTTATCGTCTTTCAGTGCTCCTATTAAGGCTTTGTGGTCTGTTAAAATTGAGAATTGTTTGCCCAGTAGGTAATTTTTGAAATGGTCTAGTGCCCACACTAATCCCAGTAGTTCGAGTTCATTAGTGCTGTATTTTAATTCGGCAATATTCAAAAATCTGCTAGCGAACGCTACGATCTTCCAATTCCCCCGATGGTCCTGTTCGATGGACGCGCCCAATCCTAAATGTGAGGCATCGCATTTCACTCGAGTGTCCAGTTTTACATCGAAATGATGGTTCGTCACCGTATTACAAATTTCTTTCTTGATTTTTTCAAACGCTTCCGTGTGTACTGTAGACCACTTAAATGG